AATAGACAGGTTCAGAGATAGTAGATTAGTGGTTGCCTAGGGCTGGGGGAGATGGGCAAAATGTGGAATGATTTTCAAAGGATATGGGGTTTCCTTTGGGGCTGACGAAAGCATTCTAAAATTAACTGTGGTGATAGATGCGCAACTCTGAACATACAGCCAATGAATTGTCCAATTTTATTTTGAGACAAAGTTTTGCTCTGTTGCCCAGGCTGGAGTGCAGTGGTGCCATCTCGGCTCACTGCAACCTCCACCTCCTGGGTTCAAGCAGTTCTCCTGCCTCAGCCTCCTGAGTAGCTGGGATTACAGGGACACACTACCACGCCTGGCTAATTTTTATATTTTTAGTAGAAACAGCATTTCACCATGTTGGCCAGGCTGGTCTCAAACTCCTAACCTAAGGTGATCTACCTGCCTTGGCCTCCCAAAGTGCTAGGATTACAGGTGTGAGCCACTGTGCCCAGCCTGAATTGTATGTTTTAAATTTGGGGCAGAGTCTTACTCTGTTGACCAGGCTGGAGTGCAGTGGCACAATCATAGCTCACTCCACCCTTGAACTCCTGGGCTCAAGTGATCCTCCTGCCTCAGCCTCCTGAGTAGCTAGGACTACAGGCCTACAGTGCCACCATGCCTAATTTTTTTTTTTTTTTTTAGATTTTTCTGGAGGCGGGGTCTTGCTATGTTGCCCAGGCTGGTCCTGAACTCCTGGCCTCAAGCCGTCTTCCTGCCTCAGTCTCTCAAAGCGTTCGGTTTACAGGCAAGAGCTGCTGTGCCCAGCTGAACTGTGTACTTTAAATGGGTGAAGTATAACTTTAAATGGCTGAAGTATATCTCCATAAAGCTGTTACAAAAAAATCGTGGTGCCAGATACTATGGAAAGAATCCAAAAGATGCTTCCTCACATCTTGGCAATTACAAGTCAAGTGGGTGATAGGAGCATAAGCGGAATGTCTTCCAGGTGGCAAATTCATTTAAATCAACTGTAAAAATGATTACCCGCTTCACAACTCTGTCATGGACACTGACTGGCCTATGTACATTTGAGACGGGAAGCTGGGCTCAGGTTTTCTAAGGGTGTCAGGCATGCCTTATATCCTGCTTGTCAAGAAGCAGTCCTCCTTTGCGTTATCTGCAAAAGTCTAACACAGGGTTTGGGAGTGAAACAGTGATTTGATTCAACAAAAGGACTAAAGGAACACTCAGAAACGGTCTTGCAACTGCAATTTTATTTTCTTTTGTGAAAATAAACAACTGGGAGTTTAAACTGCTCCAAAAACCATAAAGACAAAAAGAAATACACACAGAAGAAGCATGTGAGGTGATGGGGAAGGGAACAGGGTCTCTAGAACTTTGGCAGATTGTGCTGGCATGGACCCAGGTGACAGGAAGCCAGACCATGGGGCCAGTCCTGCCTGCCACTGTGGGACCGTGAAGGGATGATCGCCACTGGAAAGGAGGGGGAGAACACAAATTTCTTCGCTGAGGAAGTGGCAGGCACCTTGAGTCCCTTTAAATGTGGGGGTGGGGGGAAACCATTTCAGAGGACCGCTTTCTCCACTGAAAGCTGGGGCTAGCGGGTTCAGGCCCACTGAGGGAGGGAACGCTGGTGGCAGCAAATCAGGCCAAGATGTCTTCTCACATGGTGACAGCCTCACACTGGGCAGAGGACAGAGGACGAAGAACCCATGGTATTGGGCAGATGATGAAAACTTGGGCTGGGTCACAGGAAATATCGCAATGGCAGAGATGCAGATGGAGTTGGGGAAGCTGGGAAGCTGGGGCGGGTGGAAGAGAGAGGAGGCAGAAAATTGGAGAGAGGTAGAGAGAAGCGCCCTCTGCCCAGGTCCATCCGCCACAGCACCAAGGGATGAACAGCATGCTACTTTTCAGTTCTCTTTCTTATAAAGATTTTTTTTTGTTATTTTGTTTTGTTTTTTAAAAAAGCCTTAAGATCAGCTACTGGTTACATCTACAAACTGTAAAGTGCTGTTGTTACCAGCCACTTTACAGAACAGTCCAGAGTGGTCAAATATTGACCAATAAAGTCTCCTTTTTCTTTTTCTTCTGAATTATCACTACTCGATGAGTCACGTGACAGCCTGCAGGGGCCAGGGGGCAGCTTAGTGGGCAGACTTGGTGACCAGGGAAAGAGGCTGGGCCTGTAGCACCGGGAGGGCCTGGTGGGCATGGAGCGTGGCGGGGAAGGACGGGGGAGAGGCCAGCAGAGCTGTGGGCATGGACCCAAGGGGGAGGGGCCGGGATAGGAGGGGAGGCTGGCTGCCCATCTGCCCAGAGGAGGAGGCTGCAGCCTTAGCGGACAGGAAGGCAGCGGAGTGGAGAGCCAGATGGGCCCGGGTTTCTGGCTTGGTGGTGAGGGAGAGGGGCTGGGCTTGCTCCGAATGGGTGGCAGCAGGGGCGGCCGGTGAGGCCAAAGCTGCAGAGGGGGTGGCCGGAGAGTCCAGCATGCTGCCGTGGGAGGAGGCAGGGCTGTCACAGGGCTTCTCAGGAGGCAGGTACTGAACACATGGCTTCTTGCTCTTGGAGGCCAGAGCACCTAGGGGGTAAACACAAGAAAGAGTGAGCAGCTATAGCTCTGGGAGAGGCTGAGGAACAGCCCTGGCGATACACGTGCTTTGGAGACACAGGGATGCCTTTGGTGAGGGCCTGACATTACTTCTAAGGCTTTCAAGACTAGGAAACTGCATTCACAAATAGCCAGCACACAGAGAAGGGGTAACGCCCACACTGACAAAGACCCATCCAGCATCTGATCGGAGGGAAGACAGCCCAGTGTCTCACATGGCCACCCTCCTTTCCTAAAGCTCATAACTTTTGGGATGAATCTCCAGTATGCTTTGAAATCTTTGGCTTATGGTATGAACGCAGTCAGAGAGAGCGCATGCCTGATGGTGGGTTGTGCGGCATGCACAGGTCCCACTCATGTGCACTCTTATGTATAATGGAAGGAAGGAAGAAGGGAGGGATGGAGGGAGGGAGAGAGGGAAGGAGAAAGGGAGGGAGAAAGGGAGGGAAGGAGAGAGGGAAGGAGGGAGGGAAGGAGAAAGGGAGGGAGAAAGGGAGGGAAGGAGAGAGGGAAGGAGGGAGGGAGGGAGGGAGGGAGGGAAGGAGGGAGGGAAGGAGGGCAGGAGGGAAGGAGAAAGGGAGGGAAGGAGAAAGGGAGGGAAGAAGAAAGGGAGGAAGGGAAGGAGGAAGGAAGGGAGGGAAGGAGAAAGGGATGGAGGAGAAAGATTGAAAGCACTTTATGTTGTACAAGCAGCTATACACTTGTCCTGGAGTAAGCATGAGATGGGGGCATGACATAAACATTAATACTCGTCACAGTGTGAGCATCTTTCTGTGCTAGGCGTGATTCTGGTATAAAGAGATTTAGTACATATTTTTGACACAGAGTGCCTCCTAAACCCAAGCAAACTATTTTTTCTGGTGTTCAATCAAAGAAACATCAAAGGAACTCCTGACTCTTCTGGGTCCACTGGCAGGTGGGATGTCATTGGCTCATGTGGCGCCTTCCTAAGGGTATTTCAACGACAATTTCAACCACATTCCATTAACCCTCAGGTAGGATGATTCGATTTTCAACGGAATTACAAAGTGCCTAGGCTTTGAAGTGACAAAATCCTGGAATCAAATCCTACCACCAGCACTAAAGCAGAGTGACTGGGAAAATGGCTTAATGTCTC